GAAAGCCTCATCTTTCTCCCGCGGAGCAGCTGGTAGTTTCGAACCGCTGACCTTAAGGTTCGCAGCCCGATTCGTAACCACTACGCTACCAGAGTATTCCTATCTGTTACTTGGCTCAAAATTGGGTCGTGAGAGTAAATTCCATTCCAGACCTGCAGAGTGATCAAAGGCCATAGCCTTGGGTTCCTCCAGCCTCTTTCTGACCAGTAAGCCCAGTTTTTTTACATTTTGTCTTACTCTCTCTGAGACCTTCTAATGAGATCCTTTTAGAGTAGAAGGTATTGGCACCTGGGCACCATCTAGTGACTAATCACCTCCCCCATTGGTCTATTGGATTAGTTGATTCCAGACATCTTCAGTTTTCATAACTCTTCTTTCATGAAACTGATTTTGAAGTTCCCTCTCAACCTTGTTTTCAAATTTTTGTATATTTTCTTTCCCTGAGTTGTTTCATAATAGTAGCTCATTTCTTGTACTCTGCTTTAATATGGTGTTTGTCAAAGGTTTCACATCCAACTGAAGTTGTAGCCTTCCTTTGCTTTGGATGAAGAAAAAGATTTGGTACATAAATCTTTTTAAATTCAAGCAAAACAAACAAAGCACAAACATGAAAAGAATATCAAATGCCTCCCTGAATTAAAAAGGTTTCAGTCTCTGTACCTGTAAAGTTGGGAGGTGCCCTGCTGTTTGACCTTAGAGGAGGTTGCTCAGAAGAAAGAGAACTAACTATAGTAGTTGAGAGGCAAGTGAGAGGTACGGCCAGCTGGAGAGGAACCAATGAAAAGCTGCAGAGAAGGCTTTTGGCTGAGTAAAAAAGCAATCTGACCTCGATGTGCTATACAGAAGTCTTTGACTGTGCTGTGCAGTTACATGCTTGGTGTACAAGTCTCCATTGTTAGTCAAGTGTCAACATGACCAAGATCAAGGTCAAACAGGAGATTTACAAAATGGGTTGGATAAAAGAAAAATGGTGGTGTGCCTAGATAAAATAAAGAAAAAAAGCCAACTTTAAATTATTGTGTATAAGAAAATGTGGCTATTAATTTTCACAAGGACGGTAACTTTTGGGGGGGGCAGGCAATTAATTTTATTGTAGGCACTTTATTTAAACTGCATATATAGCTTTATGCATAATAAATCATGTGAGGAAAAACATCCATATTGCAGTTAGGTTTCCAGAATTTAGGTTTCCAGAATGTAGCTTTCATTATTTTTTGTTTTGTTTAGCAATGCCATTAATGGGATTTTGCCAGGTTATAAAAATGAGGACTTTCTAAGGAGTTATTTGTAGTTTCCAAGATGAATGGCAGAGCGCACATAGACACATCGGAAAGTGGAGGGCTGGATCTCCCAGTACTGGACAGGGTTGCTAAAAAGGCTCACACTGGAGTAAGAAGCTTTCTTGGTGTTGTATCCAGGTGGACAGAAGTCATTAGGTCCAACTGCAGCGATATTGTTGTTATGAAGATAGACAACCTGGATATACTTATGTTCTGCCATTCCACCAGGCACTTTGATAAGCTTGTTGTTGTCCAAGTGGAGTTCTCTCAAATGAGGTGTGTTGGCCAGAGAACCATTATCCACAACAGAGATGCTGTTGAAACTCAATCCCAATTTAGCCAGATTATTCAGTCCTTTCAGGCTTGCTGCATCAATTTTGGAGATTTTGTTGCCATCAAGATGTAACTCAGTAAGGGAAGCAGGAAGACCTTGAGGGATGGTGGTTATATTAGTGTCAGCAATACGGATATAGGAGAGCTTCTTCATTCCTTGGAAGGCTCCATTTTCAATTCCCAGGCTCTTCAGTGGGTTGGTGCCTAGTTCCCACAGGTCTTCAGCACACAGTCACTCTCCCTTTCTGGATCTAAAGTCTCCAGCTGCTCCATCACTCTACATCTCATCTCTGCCTCCATTTCAGGCATCACTGCTTCTCTGGGTAGGGTCCTGCTCTCTGCTCTTCTCCCTTGATGGTTCTAGGGACCTCCGCTCCTAGACTGAAAAGTTAATCACTCCCCTCCTTGCTATAAAATGTCTATCTTTACATTTCCAACCCTCACAATCAGTCCTGATAACAATTATTCAATATTTTATCACAAGAAACCTGTCTGCATTTCATTGCATCAACCCCACCTAGACAGATTGAATACTACTCACTGGAGATTCTGCCTTCCTCCAGGCCCTCTGGATCTAGGTTCCCTCTTGAAAGCTTGTAAGCCAGTCACTTCTTGCCTTTGTAGCCCCCCACCCCCCATTTTGGGTAGCCAATGTCCAAGTTGCCCATCCCTGTCTATTCTGTGTGTGGAGGGGGTGGGATTGATTCTTGCTATAAGGACTTGTTCCCTCTTTTGAGCTACTGCTTCCATAGGTATAGGTCAAGTTCATCAAATTGTATGAGAATACTTTTTTTTTTTTTTCCTCTTCTTTTTACTTCTGGTTGAGCTCTGATCATCCAGTCACTGAAGCCAGGATAAGTGGGTATTATCTGCAAGTGTAGGTGTTCTTCTTATCAGCTGGACGCTTCACTCTCCACTCTAGTCCTCTGTGACTATGTCACTGACTCTGGGCCCAAGAGTCCCCAGGTCTTGCCACACTGCTGGCCAACCAGGTCTTCACCTGGGTTCACAGAAGTCTATTGAACATTGTAGGGCTTAGCTCACCACTTCATTTCTGTTTTTCCTTCAATTCCCCTTATCGGTGTTATGCGTGGTCACCAATCACAGCATGTATTCCCACTGAGTCTTAGTCTTGGAAGGGGGTTTGCACTGAGGGGACCTGACCACTTGTCTTGATGTTTCCTGGGCAAGCTTGTTGCTTGTTCTTGTAGTAAAAGTCGGTCTGCCTATGTTGTTTTATATTTTTCCTGTAGGTCTTTCTTTCAAGAAGTATCTTTTGTTCTTCTAGCCACTCCAGGTTGGTCTGCTTGAAGGACGGTAACTTTTAAGATCAAATTCAAGCATGAAATTCACCAAATGTTGACAGTTCAAAAAAATTTGTCATTCAGTAGTCTACATACTAAACAGTAAACATATTCAAACAGCAGCATTTTGGTAATAAGCTCTATGCCCCAGTTGAGCAAAGCATTAGAGAAGTTAGTCTAGCAATACCTAAGTTCTGAACTGATATACTCAGTTTTCATTTGGAGCACAGATTTATCTCAATGTTTGCTGAGTCTCCCAAAAAGCCCAAACCAGTTACCGCTGAGTTGGTTCTGACTTATTGCAACCCTTTGTTTACAGAGTAGAACTGTGGCTATGACTTGTTGGAAGCAGATTGTCATGCCTTTTCTTCTGAGATGCCTCTGGGTGGATTCGAACTGCCAGCCTTTCAAGTCCTAGTTGAATATTTAATTAACCTTTTATACCACCCAGACCCAGAAGTTCATCAATAATCTGCCAGATATTAGATGATGGTCACAAAATTAATGCATTTTATCTGTGGTAATATTTTATTTCTGACTGTACTTAGTAGAACAAGCAAGGTGCTTGCTGGTTAGTGATAGAATTATTTTTAAGGGAAATCTTAAAAGGCTTTTCATGCCCGTAGTGATCTTCTAGAGGTTTTTTACATGGGTTGCCATGCTCTGTACAATGAGCCGTTGCAATTTTGAACAACAGTTAATTTGATTAGAGGTGGCACCTCACCGGAGGGAAGTCAATTTGTAAGTTAATCTATGGTCCCTGAGGTCACAAAAGAGCTGTTGTACTCAAAAGGGAGATCCATATTCTTCAGTGATTGGCTTAATCAGTCAGATGTCTTGTTGCTTTTGAATTTAAGATGCATAGAGTCAGCAGTTGGAAGCAGGCTAGAAGCTGAAAGACACACAAGGGGACAGGAGGCACGAGGCACAGAAGACACAAGGTAGAGAGGAGAGCAGCAAGATAGGAACAGCAGATATCAAAGAAGCAGACGAATTAGGAGCAGATGCTTGCTACTGCTGTTGTGGCAACAGCACAACCAGGTCCTGATAACCTTTCCCTCTTCTAAGCAGTGCGCTGTGTCTGTGAGGCCAGCTGGGTAGTGGCTGGGCTCCCCATCCTCCTTTCCTTTCTCTTCTTCATTCCATTATTGCCCTGACACTAAGGTAATCAACCCATAGCTTTTTCACAGAAGCCAGGTTATTAACCAAAGTCTTTGTTGAACTGCTTGGTCCTTATGAGTTGCTCTTCCTGTTATCGAGTGAGCCTGGTAATTGTCAGTTCTGAGCTAGAACACACACAATTGGGGGTGGAATTGGGTTGTCTGACGAGTAACACAACCAAGAAAAATACTAGAGCGAGTTATTGTTGTTCTTGTTAAATGTCATTGAGTCAGTTCCAACTCCAAGGAGTAGCTGGTGGGTTTAAACCACTAACCTTGCAGTTAGCTATCCAGTTCTTATCCTACAAGGCTAGATGAGGATTCTTTAGAGGGGGTAGTATAAATTCCATAAAGTTGAAGGATATGTCTTAGAATTTATAATACTACATTAATTTTCAAATTTCAGATTGTATGAACAAAGGTCCATTTAACAAAGATTACTGATTATGACAGTAGCCAAAATTTTGTCATTTTGATTATGTAATTTTAACATTCATTAGTCCTCCCTCCCCCATGTAAGTAATTTTGCTATAAATCGGGTAAAGTGTTATCAGAAGCAGTGAAGATTACTAAGAAATAGAAGACCTATACAACCAAACTCTTCCCACAGATTGAGGAGTTTTAAGACACTCAACTTGTAAAATGTATTTTAAACTTTTGTTATTTTTTATGCATATTAATTTAAAAAGAGAATATAATGTAAAATATCTCTGAAAGTTCAATTATCCAGTGGTAACTACCATTAGTACATTTTGGTCAACATTCAACCATTTCCAGAGGCAGCATACGATCAAGAACCAACAGTACTGAAGGAAGACATTCACGCTGCACGGAAGGCATTGGTGAAAAACAAGGTTCCAGTGGTTGATGGATACAAATTGAGAATACTTCAACAAATGGATGTAACTCTGGAAGTGCTTACTCATGAATGTCAAGTAATTTGGATGGCAGCTCTCTGGCCAACTGACTGGATTAGATCTGTATTTGTGCCCATTCCAACAAAGGCAATCAAACAATGTGGAAATTACTGAACAATATCACTAATATAACTTACGAGCAAATTTTGCTGCAGATAATTCAGAAATGACTGCTATCAAAAGTCAACAGAGAACTTCCAAAAGGTTCAACTTTGATTCAGAAGAGAACGGTAGTACAAAGAATAATTAGTGTTGAGGTCAGGTGGATTTTAGCTGAAAGTAGAGAATTTTAGAAAGATGTTTGCTTGTGTTTTATCAAATGCAGATGCATTTGACTATGTAGATTGTAACAAATCTTGGATAGCATTATGAAAAATGAGACTTCCAGAACACTTAATTATACTAATGTGAAATAGTTGTTTGAACAGAACAAAGGAATACTGCAAAGTTCAAAATTGAACATGGTGTATGGCAGCATTGTATCTTGATTCAATCTGTATGCTGAACAAGTAATTCAAGAAGCCAGATTGTATGAAGAAGTACATGGCATCAGGTTTGAAAGAAAACTCATTAATAACCTGTAACATGCAAATAACACAACCTTGACTGCTGACCGTGAAGGTGATCTGAAGAACTTACTGATGAAAGCCAAAGACTATCACCTTCCATATAAATTATATCAGCACATAAAGGAAATGAAAATACTTAAGCCTTAGCCATAAACAACATAATAGCGGACAAATAAATTGAAGGTATTGAGGACTTCATTCTACTTGCATCGCCAATCAATGCCCATGGAAGCAATTATGAAGAAATGAAACAACATACTACATTTGGTAGATATGCTGCAAAACACTCTTTAAAATCATAAAAAAAGTGCACCTGATCCAACTCATTCTCTTTTCAGTGATTTCATATGCATGTGAAATCTGGAAAATGTAAAAAGAAGACAGAAGAAGAATAAAGCCTTATAATTCTTGGTATTGGCAAAGAGTATTGAATATACAATGAACAGCCTGGAAGAATGGTGGAGTACTGGTGTGGCACTGTAGGATAAGCACTGGGCTACCAACTGCAAAGCTGGTGGTTCATACCCACCAGCCATTCCTTGGAAACCCTATACAAGAGGGTTGCTATGTGTAGGGTTTCCAAGGAACTGACTCTACCAGCAAAAGAAACACCCTGAAGAATGAACTAATCTGTCTTAAACCTATTGTCTTCTAGGTAGCTTTGACTTGAGTGACCCTTAAGGATAGAATAGAACTGGCCCATGGGGTTTCTAAAGCTGTAATGGTGTGGCACTGTAGGATAAGTACTGAACTGTGAATTGCAAAGTTGGTGGTTCACACACACCAGCTGCTCCTCGGAAAACCTATAAGGGTTTCTATGAGTCAGAACCAACTTGACAGCTCTTAACAACAACATTCTTTATGGAAGCAGACCAGGTAGGTGCTTACTCATTGAGCCACTAAGCTAAAACCAAACCCACTGCCATCACCTCAATTCTGCTCATAATAACAACCCTGTTTAGGGTTTCAGAGGCGGTAAATCTTGACGGGAACAGACAGCTTTTTCTTTCTCCCTCGGAGCAGCTGGTAAGTTACAGTTGCCCACTTTGAAGTTAGTAGCCCAGTGCGAGACCCACAGTGTCACAAGTACCAGGACTCCTTAAATCAACTTTAGAAGAAATAAATCTGGAATGCTCCTTAGAAGCAAGGATGGTGAAATGTCTTGCTTACTTTGGATACATCATAAGTAAAGACCAGTCCCCTGAGAAGGACCTCATGCTTTGGTAAAAGTAGAGATCAGTAATAATGAAGAAAACCCTAAATAATATA